GTGTTTTGACAACCGACAGTAGAGTGCGCTGAACCCTTTGCAAAATTAATATCCTCTACTTTTGTACGAATTGCGTAGTTGGCGTAAACATACAGAATTATGGTGGTAGTAAACATTACAGAAATATAGCCTTCAATCTTTTGATTTTATTTTAAAATTGAAATAATTAATTACATGCTATCAAGCCCAGTAGATTTCCCCCCCCCCTAATCTGGTCTTTCAGATCTTCCAATGGTGCACCCATTACACTGTAACTGAATCCTTCCAGCTCCCCGATGACCATCTTCTCTTTCCCTCCACTTTTCCCAGCATTACAGTCTTTCTCAGAAAACTAAGTCTTTGCATTATGCGTTCAAAATAGGATAATTTGAGACTGGTACTCTGGATTGATTTGTTTGATGATCCATTTCTTGGTATTCTTGGTTGCCCATAAGATTCTCTTCTCCCATACCAAAGTTCAAAAGCATCAATACTCTTCCTGTCCTGTTTCTTCAAAGTCCAAGTTTCACTTCCGTAGAGTGTCACAGGGAATATCATGGTTTATGTAATTATGTAATTTGTAGGTGTAATCACGTCATGACATCTGGATATCTTTCTAAGGCCTTCATGGCTGCCCTATTGAGGACTAGCCGGCAGGGTATTTCTTGACTGCTTATTCTTTTACTGTGCTGTTGGCCTATCCCAGGGGTAGGCAACCTTGGCTCTTTTATGACTCGTGGACTTCAACTCCCAGAATTCCTGAGCCAGCATGGCTCAGCTTGGAAACCTCTCCCTTTCCCCTCAGCATGGCTGGCTCAGGAATTCTGGGAGTTGAAGTCCACGAGTCATAAAAGAGCCAAGGCTTCCTACCCCTGGCCCTATCCCAAAAGGCGGAAGCTACCTGCCATTTCAATATACTCTGTGTCAGTTCTAAGGTTGGTCGTACTTCTTTTAATATGTTTGGTCTTGGTGAGTGGTTCTGCCCACGCAATTCTCAATAGCCCAATGTGGTAGCTGAATATCACAGAGGGATAAAGAGGTCAACATGGAAGGCAGTACATTTCACTATGACAGACACTGAAATGCCATTGGGGATTTGTGCTTTGGCAAGAGTAATAATGTATTCCTAACCAGCACCACTTGATGGAAACTTCTCTGCACTCAGCTACTGGCTAGAAAAAAGAACTTCAAACTGGTGATTAAAACTATTTCCAACCAAGAAAATATGCCTGCCTCAAGAGCATGAGAGTGCTCTGTAGAGTTAGAGACAGGAAACAGAAAAGTCTCTGCTGTATATTTTACTGTGGAATGAGAAGTCTCGGACCACGGAAACTCATATCAAGGGTTTTTGAAAATTACCCTTGCAGATTGCAACAAATCCTATTTCAACTAAATATTCAAAATCAGGACATTGTGACTTAAGCCTTGATGTTGCAACACCACGGTATCTGTTACTTTCACAATCAGAAATCTGATTGTGATTATTTATTTTGTTACTTTTTAATTAATAACAAAAAGAAAAAAGAGCCAAATATAATGGTAATATATGTTGTCGATAAGGATTAAAAAAAAGCATAAAATTGCTGCTTTCCCCAGAAGGGAATTGTGTGATGGAATTATATTTATAAGTGGGCTAAGCACAAAAGACTTGNGTGTCTGTGTTTGTGTGTGTGTGTTGGGTATACAGGATGTACCAAACACCAGGTCTCAAGACAACTTTCTGTGAAAAAAGAAATTAATAAAACATATTGTGACTGGCCCATGGAACCCAATCTTTGATGCTCCCCGTTTACCCACATGAAGACATTCTGGAGGTCTGCTCTTCAGAGGGGCCAAGTAGTCTGTATCAGCTCCCGAATATCTAGAGCAGGGTTTCTGAAACTTTCCTCAAAGGACCCTTTCCCACTTTTAAAAATTATGGAGAACCTCAAAAGAGCCTTGGTTTATATACATGATAGCATTTATCCATATTGACCTATTGAAAATTGAAATTGACGCATTCACTACTGCTACTGCTGCTCACAATTGTTTGATGGGATTTTAACATTGTATTATTTTTCACCATGGGCTGGCAAATAATTGTGATATAATGGAACTCTGAGAGGGTCTTGGGGGATTCCCACACGCAAGTCCTAGGGCCACACTTGAAGAAACCTTGTCTTAGAGGAAGGAACATAAGAGGAGCGAGGGGCCTAAGCTTTGTGGGAAGAATCCAGGGAAAGAAATATTTTGTGGAATATTAAAAAGACAGAATATATTTCCCCAAAGGTTAGGGTTAGGATTAATTTGATTTAACTGAGATTTATAGTGGGAATGACCAGTGTGTGAAAACCAAGAGTTCTGTTTCTCTTTCTTTTCCTCTTTCCTTGTCTTTGTCTGTGTATCTGCGTCAAAGTCTTTGTGCATTATGTAAATGTTAACTGTTAAATATCCCTAACCCCTAGAGCAGTGGTGGTGAACCTATGGCACGGATGCCAGAGGCGGCACTCGGAGCCCTCTCTGTGGGCACACATGCCGTTGCCCCAGCCTTGCCTCCGCCCACGACCCCCTCCTCACCAGCAGCCTCCCTGTAGGAGAGTTGCCCCTGAGCGTGGCCCACGCGGAGCAGCGCAGCCAAGAACATGGCAGCCAGGCAGCATAGACAAGACTCTGCCCTCACGCCCCAATGCGCACAATCGATGCTGTGGGGCGTGGGCAGAGGGCGTGGCCACCATGGTGCTGCTGGGCTGCCTGGGCGATCTGCGGCGGGTCCTGGAGGCGGTGGGTGGCCCTGCAGGCAGGCAGGGTGGGGCAGAGTGGGGGCGGGGAAGGGAAATTATACTGCACAGTAATTGGGTGAAATTAGCTACGGTATCCAAACCTGCACATATTTTCTCAAAAGCAAATCTCACCCTTTATTCTGTGGCAATTGTGATTTTTAGATGGAGCCTGGTGATTGGTCTCTACAACTAAAAAAGAAAACGTTTACTGAGCAATAATAATATTACAGTATATCGAGTTAATTTCTATAAAGTAACTAAATGCACCAAAATTACTTTCTTGTCAATAACAGTTTGCTGGACCATGATGGGCACTAGACTTTCCAATAAGCTAACAACAACTTGGAAAAAGATTTTATTTACCTCCTCGCCCAGATGTTAATCCACACATTTTAATCCTATTAAGAGGATAAGCAGAAATCATTACGAACAGTAAACAGCGTGATTAGAGAAAAATCCAGCATGTCTGTCCTGAAAATATAACCAACCGTGTGATTGTACTATGAGTCAAGCCA